ATGGTAAATACAGACCTGAGCACAGCAGCAAATGAAAGGTCGATGTGTTCCTGAACCAGATATCTAAGTATCCTGACAGGTCCCTCTTCAAACCATCATTAGAAATATCATGCAGCGGATTGTTATAGACATTCCTGGAAGTCATACAAATCATGGTTTACCTAGATGACTCAGTTAGGATAGCGGAAAGTCATGTGACCATGTTTCACTGTCAATTATCACCAGACAACTGAGGAATGATTGATGGCTCCTTACTGATAGAGATGTCATGGCAATGGGCAGAGGACTTGTCAGATGTCTAAAACCCTTCCAATCTCCACCTAGATACTGATATCAAAGCTCAAATAAGACAGTTACCAAATCCAACCAGACACTGATGCCAAATGTCATCCATCTATACTGCACTTTTGCAAATACAACCTGAAACTGTTAAACATGATAAACCTTGGAAGCAGAACCAGCATCTAAGGTTCCTTTACATGGCAAAGTTTGTGTAAAAAATTATTTTACTAATCTGCTCAAGGTCTATGGTGCTCTGGGTGACTGGTGCTTGTCTCAAAGACATACATATATGTCAATGTTCCACCCCTGCATGGGCTCCATTCATTTTTTTTGTCCAATCACACCTCTACAGGGAATCTATTTATTGAGCCTCATTATAAATTTAATTGCATCCATCATTAAAACTCTTTATTAATACTGTTGCAGTTTGTATTGTAGAAGATACTCAAGTATTTGCTGAGACTGGAGTTCCCAATTTTTTAAAGAAGTGGAAAAACTAAAATAGAATGTACATTTGTCTTCATTATTTGTAGCTTCAGCGTTACAACTATATTCAAGCCTCTAACATTGCAAGAAAGGAACTTTGTGCACTTAGCCATGTGTATAATTACTCATACAGAGGAGTGATCATTCTCACCCATGGTTCCAGAAGCCTAGGGTTACTCTAGAGCAGTGGTTCTCAACCTGTGTGTCGAGACCCAAAAGTGGGTCGCGACCCACAGTTGAGGGGGTCCCCACGTGCCTTGTGCTGCTCTAGGTAAGAGGCTCCTCAGCCTCCTCCTAGCGCAGCAGTGTCAGTACTCCTAGATAGCGCTGCAGCGGCCCAGAGAGGATCAGAGAGAGGAAAACAGGCAGGAGTGAGGGGAGGTGAGTGCTTGATCACCACAGAGCCCGCACTGGACGCCAACAAAGAGTCCCACTAGCCACCTGAGAGCCCACACTAGTTTTGGTTCATCCCTAAAGTTTGCAGTTGGGGGTCACCACAACTTGGCAAATGTTACCAAGGGGTCCTGGCCATAGAAAGGTTGAGAACCACTACTCTAGAGGTTGGTAGGGCTTCCTTAAGCTGTACTTATTGACCACCCATCTGATGGTGTCTACAAAGCTCCGAATGGATCAAAGTCCCATGTGAGAGCCAGATGCATGAACCCAATTATCTTTGTAGCTGTCTCTAAAGATGACACTCTGACCACCACTGTAAGGGGAGGGCATTATTTCCATAGACCACCAATGTAAGGGGCAAGTTTCCCAGTGACCAACAATGAATTGGTTTTGTGAAAAGGTTAAGAAAGGCTGATATAGAGCACAGTACCATCCCACACAATTATAAGAATGCCTTCAAAGAGATAGTAGTGGAGTAAGAGCACAATACAGCATTGTGATGCAGAGAACATGTTACAAAACTAGACCACAGGGGCAACAGAACATCAAACAAAAATAAGTAAGGCTTATTTGCCTCGGTGACTCATAGACATTCATCTGCACATGAGAAGAACATTTGAGTAGACAGTGGCCATAGACCACAGGATGTAAATTAAGCCTATATTTCGTAATGATTATTTTTTTCTTTTTAATTTGTGCTATTATATTATTCAACATTGTAGCCCTTTCCTTTCTCAGCCATGTTAAATGCTCTTAAAGTGATTCTGTTGCTGGGTTAAAACAATGTGCAAAGCACGACCTATAAATGAAAAGGGTTTTACTCCCCTGTCCCGTCGCTTCTGATCTTGCCTAAATTCCACAGCTATGGCTGCCTGAAAAAGCTCTTCAGCATTCCTGGGCGTGTTGGTCACCAGTGTGTCCCCCTCATCCCCCCTTCCTACTGCATGCGGTGGCTTCTTCCACTGACCTCTATGTCACTATATGGGATAAGCGTCAAGATCTGGTTGATGAAGAGTTCAAGCCAAAGTTTGCTGAATGGGCAAACTAAATGACCAGATGTGCCCTTTGCTAACTTCAGCGGCCAGCAGGGAAACCATCACATTGATGGTTCTAATTAGGGATGCACCGATACTAGTATCAGTATTGATGCCGATACCAAGTATTTGGGCGAGTACTCATATTCACCCAAATGCTCCCATACCTTCCCTGATACCGGAACTTCCAGTCAGAAGATTTCCTCTGACCGACAGTGCCGTAGGGGAACATGGAGCCGGTTTTCTGGGCAATCAGGAAGCCGGGTTGCGAGTAATAACCCGGCTTCCTGGCCAATCAGTATCGGGCCGGTTCCATGTTGATTGGCTGGGAAGCCGGCTTCCTGGCCAGTCAGCATGGAACCGGCTTCCCGGCCAAACAGAAACCTGGGAGGCAGGTCATTACTCGCTGCCGGTTTTCTTGATTGGCCGGGAAGCCAGCTCCCTGTAGATTGGTTGAGAAGCCAGTTTCCCACCCAATCACAATCGAGCTGGACAAATAACATTGAACCATCTTCAGCCAGCAATCAGGAAGCCGGGCAGCATGTCATTACCTGACGCCTGGCTTTCTGATTGCCCAGGAAGCTGGCTCCATGACAGTGGAAGCACCGGTACTCGGTATCGGCGAGTACCGATAGCAAGACATCGGTACTTATACTCAATACCGAGAAACTGGTATCGATGCATCCCTAGTTCTAATCAAATGCTGCATTTTCCATTGGAGTGCAAACAGCGGACATTGACATGAGCCCTAGGATTACCGGGAAAATAAAAAAAAGCCTGAAAAAGAAAACTAATGCAGCAACTACATACAGTATAACAACTAATAATCTGCAATATATGAAATTATTTCCTAGGGTGATATACATTTTAATATGTCTCTGGTCAACATCGTCACCAGTGCAGGACCAGTGTCGATGTAATCAGGATAGGAGGTGGTCACTGCTACAAGTACCTGCTTACATTCCAGTGCTTAACACAAAAGCTCTGGGACTGTTGTAATACTTCAGATTAGGGTTAGTATCACTGTGTATTAGAACCTTTATTTTAATGCTGAACTCCGGGATAAGCAAATATTGTCCTCATACAAGAGTATTGTGTAGTCTTCCTGAATCTTGGTGAGCTTTGTGTATTTCTTCCAGATCTGTGCAGTAATCCAGTGTGAGACAAGTAGCTTCCTGTAATACAGACCGGTCACTGCTGCTCTCTGTCCTTGACTGGTCTGGTGTCCACCCCCTTCTATGGTTCTGCAGGCAGCCTGTAATGGGTGGGGCTTGCTTGCCCCCTCCCACAGCTCTGCTCTTTGCGCACGGTGTGCACAGCACAGTGATGATGTCACTGCTACTTTATATCATGTGCACAGTGGTCATGTCACTGCTACTTTTATACCATGTGCACAGTGGTCATGTCACTGCTACTCTTATATCATGTGCACAGTGGTCATGTCACTGCTACTTTTATATCATGTGCACAGTGATGACGTTGCTGCTACTTTTATATCGTGGGCACAGTGGTCATGTCACTGCTACTTTTATATCATGTGCACAGTGATGATGTCTCTGCTAATTTTATATCACATGCACAGTGATGGTGTTACTATTACTTGTATATCACATGCACAGTGATGATGCCACTGTTAATTTTATATAATGTGCACAGTGATGATGTCACTGCTACTTTCATATCATGGGCACAGTGGTCATGTCACTGCTACTTTTATATTATTTGCACAGTGATGATGGTACTGTTACTTTTATATCATGTGCACAGTAGACATGTCTCTGCTACTTTTATATCATGTGCACAGAGATGGTGTTACTGCTACTTTTATATCACATGCACAGTGGTCATGTCACTGCTACTTTTATATTATGTGCAGTGGTCATGTCACTGCTACTTTTATATCACATGCACAGAGATGGTGTCACTGCTACTTTTATATCACATGCACAGAGATGGTGTCTATGTCACTGCTACTTTCATATCATGGGCACAGTGGTCATGTCACTGCTACTTTTATATTATTTGCACAGTGATGATGGTACTGTTACTTTTATATCATGTGCACAGTAGACATGTCTCTGCTACTTTTATATCATGTGCACAGAGATGGTGTTACTGCTACTTTTATATCACATGCACAGTGGTCATGTCACTGCTACTTTTATATTATGTGCAGTGGTCATGTCACTGCTACTTTTATATTATGTGCAGTGGTCATGTCACTGCTACTTTTATATAATGTGCACAGAGATGGTGTTACTGCTACTTTTATATCACAGTATATCACAAGGAATACAAAGTGGTTTTATACTCTTTGTGTCTGTTAAGACATATATTTTAATAAAAGTTTTTTTGTGTCCGGAGTTCAACTTTAAAAAAACAAGTAAGGAGTAGGGTGTGGGAGGGGGGAATTGGCAATATTGATTTTTCTTTTTCTTTAAGGCAACCTAAGTTCGACTATATAAAACATCGACTTTGTCAGAAGTTGCGAGTCAGCGGCAGAAGTTAGCGATTCGTTCTCAATCATCGTTCAACACAATATGTCTTAACAAGGCAGTCATTGGTTTCCTAGGTAATAGCTGACACCGTTCAGAATCACAGAATAATTGAATGTGGGAGGGAAAGAAAAAAAAAAAAAGCACAAAGTGCATAAAAGAAAAGGGATTAGATAATAAAGAGCCCTATGGAGGGGAATGTCCCCGCCTCTGATTACACTACTAATTGATCAGCCGCACAGCAGGACAAAATCTAGCAGCAATCACGGTACTTATCGCTAATGCTTGGAGCAATGTAGTCTACTACCTCCTCGACTTTCGCTGTCTGCTGGCTTCACCTGGATTGGTCGGTTCATCTGCGGAGAGAAGAGAGAGAGGACCGATTAGGGCCACGTACAAAAAACAGGACCGACTTGCATTAGTGTATTGTGCAAGACTTTCAACATTCTGAAACATCATAACAACATTGTAACAAGCTTCCAATACCACATTAGTAGAAGTGATAGTCATCGTATTAAGAAATCTACAAGTAGAGTATATGTATGGGAGCTTTTTTTTATCTGGCAAAGGGTTTGTATTGGTCTATCCAGTCCTAAGGGTTAAAAAGCTATGCTACACATCACAGCCCTGTCTGGAAGGGCAGGATACCTAATTTTTCTCTGCAGCAGTTCAGTAACACTTGCAGGTCTTATCCCTCCCCCAGCCTGTGATTGGACAGTGACAGGAGAAGCAACAGACTGATGAGCTCATCTCTCTATCACTCTGCTCTCTCTGCTCCTGTCAGTATAGTCATTGCTAGCATGTGATCATAACGGTTTGGCTCCTTGCGCTTTTGCTTCCTCCCCCACTCTGAGATTGGCTGTATAGGGAGGCTGATAACAGGTCAAATTCAGGTACCTACACTGCTTGCATTAAAAATGCATTTACTGATGTATTATCGAACACAGAGCTGCATTTATGTGTGTCTTTCTTATCTGCTCTCTGACGTTTTTACTTCCCATCTGTATCTCATTTTACAGATTTAATTTCCTCTCCCGAAATAACAGGAAATGAGAGAAAATCCTGATCCCCTGGACTGCCCATTTGATAGACCTGATAGGCAACCCAGCATGCCGTGATCACTCCTTCAGTTGACCATTGAGATATCTATCAGGTGTATCGGATGGGTAGCCCAACGACCAATGGAAAGAGTGCACACAGCAGACTGACAATAATGCTAATAAGATGGATGCGAAAAAAAAAATGTCTGCCCCGGGCGCCCATAACTCTGGTTACGCCACTGGTCCGATGGAAAAGGTGCAACAGATTCCTCCATCTACACTTAACTGTGTGGATGGAGTAATCTCCACCTGGGACAATCTGTTTCAATTTTTCCATCTTCCCACAGAAAATCTGCAGATAATTGTAAGGTGTATGGGGACCTTCAGTGTTGTCAGCCTGCCATGATCACTCCTTCAGTTGGTCATTGCAATACCTATCAAGTCTATCAGGTGGGCAACCCAACGACCAATAAAAGAAGTGCATGCAGCAGGCTGACAATAATGCTAATGCGATGGAGTGGTTTAGTGTTGATAGCCTGCGATGATCACTCCTCTAGTTGGCCATTGAGATACCTATCAGGTCTATCAGATGGGCAGCCCAACAGCCTGAAGAAGGAGTGCATGCAGCAGGATGACAAAAAAATCGCTAACAAGATGCAGTAGTTTAGCTTTTTCAGCTTGCCATGATCACTCCTTCAGTTGGCTATTGAGATACCTATTAGATCTATCAGATGGGAAACTTTACAACAAATTCACAAAAAACATTTGCTTAAGAAAGCTGTTCACAAACATGCTAAAAATTAATTCTAGGTTCTACATACACTTCAATTATTCCAGATGAGTAAAAATATTGCCAAGGGTCAACATAACAGCCAAGCCCTTCAGCCACGGGTCAGGCCCTATATTTCTCTCTTTGTAGGTCTACTCTAAGAGGAATCCTTCACACGAGTATAGAGAACATACATTCAGGTATTGCCCCAAGGAGAACTGAACCTGAGACACCACACAACACCAGCGCTGCAACAACAACACAATCCTCCCCATGCCACCCCCATACCCTGGTAATTACAGGAGCAGGAACTGAACATCTGTCATTTTCTGAGGTGGGCTCATCGCCCTCCGCACCGACCCAGAAATATCATCCCAGATTGTGCCACAGGTAGAATCAATTAATCCACATCAGAAGCGACGAGGCCCGTGACAGAGTCCAGTTCCCATAATGAGTATCAAATTGACATAAAATGCACTAATTACATGGTGGAGGAGCGAATAGGAAGTAATTAGGATCCCCGCTCGGCGCTCCATTGTGAAGGAGGGCGTTGACGGAGAGAGAAGTGGACCTTTAATTGCCTGAGATTGGATTCATTGTAATTATAACAGTTGGCTGGAAGAAATGCATGAAGCTTTGCGGTGATTAAAGAAAGGCGGGCGGACCTCCACGAGGGATGGAAACGCACCTTCACAGTGCCGTGGATGAAGTGGTATCCACAGAGCACACACAGGCCATGGCGAAGCAGTCTGATATCTTGAGCAGCAGTGACTGTCATATATTTGATTATGTGGTCATTCAATTTGAGCGAAATTTTGCCCAAAGGAGATCGCTCAATCAAATTTGATTTGGTCTATTTAGCGGTTGGATTTCCCGTCAGGGCAGTTCATTCCTTCCCAATGGAGGCAATTGGTCAAAGAATGTAAAGCTGAACTCTGGCCTTCAGGTCTTGCACAGTTGTACCTGCACCTCTCCCGCACTGAAATGACTTACTCAGATTAAAATGCACACTTTGAGCGTCTCATAATGTGCATTAGAAGCTGCAGCAAGTCAGCTAGAACCTACCGCATTTCCTGGCTGGAGGATGTAAGGCATGATATAGCCCTTTATTCCACAGTCTGACTGGCCACCCCATTCATTCATTGGATTATATTACACTTGATCAAGGAGGCTCAGGACCACATGTGCATGTTATCTTGGGTGGTCTGCATGTAAAGTTAGCTTCCTTTGGAACCCCCACTCCTCCAGACTGACATGTATCCATAACCCATGTGCTGAGGGCCTTGAAACTAAGCCACTTGCTGAAAAAGAGCAGATCTAAAGGGAGCAGGGCTGAACAGAGATACTGCAGCCTGAAGAAGGGCACAGAAGAGCTGGGTAGAAGCTGCCAGCTAGATCTTGGAAGAGGGATCTTGGCCTTAGCCACTCGGGTACTTTAGGTCTGCTTACAAAGGGTCAGAAGTCAGATTCAAAGACCTGAAAACACCATGACTGCTCTCATAGGGTAACAGATTGATCTAGCTGTCTTCTGTCCATCAGCATCTACTTTTGGAGGTCACTGTTATAGGCCCTGCTGCTGACACAACATTTCTGTCCTCCATAACTGTACTATGGGTACCCTGCACCTCTAAACCCTCTCTCCTGCAAGTTTGGCAAAAAATAGCAAGCGGACCCTAGAGACTTGGGCCTGATTATTGTCGGTGAGCTGTTGGGTCTAGAACCAGGGCGGGAAGGAGAACCCATGATTACCAGCCCCTTCTCTTGGCGTACCGCTACATACGTATAATTGGTAACTAAAGCTATTGAAGAACAATATAGACTTGAGGTGGGATTAGGCTTGATGAAGGGTTATTTTCACCCCAAAACTTTGTCACAGCTTCCACCTCCACCTGTACTGGGTGTCCTTTTCCAGTGTTCAGTATTGATCGGTGGCATTATCTTGTTTATTTGTATTGGATGTCTCCCAGCTGTCTTTTCAGAGCACATTGTTCTCCAATAGCTTTAGATAGCAATTATATGTATACAAGAGCTGAGCAACTGCGGTTGACATTCTGTACGGATTATCTACCTTGTCTACCTTTGTACTGCCACTGATTTAATAATACATTCATTTGAAATGCCTCGGGATGCATTCAGACCCAGACGACAGCGTTGTCACTAGTTTCTAAGAGCGTTTGGCGCAGTAGGAGCATAGATTAAGTTGTGTGTTTTTTGTGTGTAGATTGTGACACATTCATGTAAATGGTCAAAAGCATAAAATGCACACACACACAGGAATGCACAAAAACACAGCAAACACACGTATTTGATAATTTCCGTTGATGTCTATGGTGTCAAGAAGCGCCTAATCTGCCAAAAAAGAAGCTCATGTACTTATTTCCAGCGACTGGCGTTTTGCTATTAGCGACAAAACGCTCAGATATGAACATGACCATAGAAATAAATTGGGATTTTGTTTTGGGAGGTTTTTCTTGTGTGTGTTTATTAGGGCAGAAAAAGTGCTACAGAACGCTAGGTGTGAATGCAGCCTATGGGGCAAAACACAATTTTGTGCTGAGTTGCGTTGATGTGCACTTTAACTGGCATGTTACTGCACATTACATTTGTTAGCGCATTGCAGTACCAATACAGCTCCACTGCATATGTGTTCAAGCACACCATGAGAACCCCATAATGGGCACAGCAGGTGTGCAGACCGGGGAACTCAGAACAGGGATTGTGGGAACCCCTCATAATGGGCACAGTAGGTAAAAAGGAGCAGGAACTCAGGGGAGGGATGGGGGCCACCTCTCATAATTGGCACAGCGGGTATACAGACCCAGGAACTTAGTGCAGGGATTGTGGGAACTAGTCCTAATGGGCACAGCAGGTGTACAGACCCAGGAACTCAGACCAGGGATTGTGGGAACCCCTCATGATGGGCACAGCAGGTGTGCAGACCCGGGAACTCAGCACAGGGATGGTGGGAACCCCTTGTAATGGGCACAGTACGTAAAAAGGAGAAGCAATTCAGGGCAGGGATGGGGGCCACCTCTCATAATGGGCACATCGGGTGTACAGACCCAGGAACTTAGTGCCGAGATTGTGGGAACTACTGCTAATGGGCACAGCAGGTGTGCAGACCCAGGAACTCAGTGCAGGGATGGTGGATACCCCTCATAATGGGCACAGCACGTGTGCAGGCCTGGAACTCAGTGAAGGGATGGTGGGAATGCCTCATAATGGGAACAATAGTTATACAGACCCAGGAACTCAGGGCAGGGATTGTGAGAACCCCTCATAATGGACACAGAAGGTGTACAGACCCAGGAACTCAGCTCAAAGATGGTGGGAACCGCTGCGGCATGGGCACACCAGCTGTGCAGATCCGGGAACTCAATGCAGGGATGGTGGGTACCCCTCATAATAGGCACAGCAATTCTGCAGACCCAGAAACTCAACACAGGGATCTCACCAACAGAGTCACTGATAGATAGAAGAGATTGTCAGGTGGTTTACCTCTCCAGCATCTGCCAAACACTGAAATATCAGTCATGGGTGCACTGAC